AAACAGCTTCTTAATGTTAAGATGAAATTCATGAAGGGAGGCGCCGGAGTTTTTTCTTGCCCAAGTAGTTTCGATCTCATCCGTGGTCATCCTCAGGGGTGAATTGCAAAGACACAGTTATTGTAACTGTGATCGTTGCGATGGTGATTTTGGAAAACACTCGTGAACGCGCCAAGTTATAATTATTTTTAAATTTATCAGTTGTAGCTATGGTGTTTTTGTAAACTAGCGTTCCAATGTAAGGGAGCTAACCAGAAATGGTAGAAATGTAAAATAGGTTTAAATGTTGGTCAAATTCACTTCAAATAAGTTATAATAAGTTTGTCTTTATAATTCGCCTCTGGGGATGATCTTGGATGAGATCGAAAGTACTTGGGTAATGAAAAACTGTGGCGCTTTCCATGAATTTCAACTTCAAGGAGCTGATTATAGAACTAGAAGGGATTACTATAAAAAATAGATACAATTAGATACAGTATGTCTATATTATTTAATGAAACATGTTTGAAATATATATATATATATATATATATATATATATATATATATATATATATATATATATATTAACAATTATAACAAAAACAAGTTATAAACTGCTACATAAACGCAATCATGTTTCAGTACTGTATGTGCTTCTTCAAGCAGTAGTGGTCAACTCACGCAACTGTGCCCCACACACTATAATCAAGGGCGTTGCAATCTGTGGAGTTAGATGACCAGATGTAAGAGTTGACCACCACGGCCTGAAGAAACACCTATAGTGTCGAAACATGATTGCATTTATGTAGCGGTTTATAACATGTTTTTGTTATAATTGTTAATAAATATTATGATTATTAAGCTCTACTCTGTAGTGAGCACCTTTTAAAAATATAATGTTTGGACATTGGCATTAACCTACCTTACACTTATATATATATATATATATATATATATATATATATATATATATATATATTTATTATTATTATTATTATTATTATTATTATTAAGGCCCTTTCCTTGGTAGTGACCCCTTTCTGTTTTTGTTTATTTAATTAACGATCGGTCTGGAAGCATTCTCAAATCACTACTAAACATATATGCTTATGATACAACTTAAAGAAACACTTTTAAAAATCAAAATCCCCTGAGCCTTACAGCAGATCTCTCGACTGATCGAGCTCACACAGCTTGTAATATTCTTTACCTCTAAAACCAAGTTAACATATCATAATCGATCGGATTCTGAACTTTCACCTCTCACAACGAAGAAAGAAGTTGCGCTGGCGATCATTAACACGTCTTTGAACGCTTATTTTAATCATGGAGAGTTTCACTCACAATTTCGGAACTATTTCGACTGCTCCAAAAATCATCGACACAAACTGTCACCTTCATGTTGTATCATTTTTTTTATTTTAGTTCCCAGCCTATTTCATTTCTTTCACGTTCAATTAGTTTTATTTGATAGTCTGCTGAAACAATGACGTCCATTGATAAATTTTCATCTTACTTATAATGTCAAGATCTTTTCTCCTAAGCTTTCTAAATTGCTTCAGAATGTGACCATCACAGCTCATCATGGTGCAATTAGTTAACACAGGATGATATATTATTATTATTATTATTATTATTATTATTATTATTCGATTTCTGCTATGGTCACACTACCTACCAAGTCTGCGGAAAGACCTAAGGCCGATAGTGGTTTATTGTTTTGGCTACATTTCATGATTTGTTTTTCTAACTCCCATAACATCACCGGCGTTACATGGAAAAATTTCTTCTTAGTGTGTGGACTGTATTTATCAAGACATTTTTTTTTTTTGTATTTCTCTTAAGCTGGGATTTACAGGGATTTTTTAATGTTATTATTTTTATTATTACTATGTTTCTTGTCTCAAGGTGCCGCAACGTCTATCAGGATACATTCATGGCGTTTCTTTTGCACAAGTGTGATATCGGGGCGATTGATTTCCAAGCGCTTGTCACTCAAGATGTTTCTTCTTCTTCTTCTTTTTCTTCTTCTTCTTCTTCTTCTTCTTCTTATTATTATTATTATTATTATTATTATTAAGTGAGGTAGAAGCGCGTCAACAATGTTTCGGTGGCGTCATGACCCCCAAGCTGATAAATGCATGCCAGCCACATGCCTCACAGCCAAATGTTTACGATATAGTGACAGGTTTCTTCTTCTTCTTCTTCTTCTTCTTCTTCTTCTTCTTCTGATCTATTCATAGATGCTCTTATGTACAAGGGTGACATCAGGACGATAATTCTTCATGCACTTTGTCAAGATAGTTGTAATCCAATTATTTTTATTTTGATTGACTAATTTGTTTATTTTTTTAAGGCTTATCAGCCCTTTAAGCTAAAATATAAGTTGGATTATAGGAGGTTGCTTACAGTACCCAATGTTCCCAAGCGGTCTTCCCTCAAAGAACTGACTGCGACCGACACTGCTTAACTTCAGTGATCTTACGAGAACCGATGTTTTCAACGTGATTTGATCGTAGTGAGTGAGAGAGAAACAGGCCCAAAAAATTGACCCTGGGGTACCAATATTCGAACTCAATATACCTATCATGTCTGTATACATGCAACACAGCCTAATGTGCATAATATGGTGACAAGTTTTGATAAAAGCATGACACGTTAAAGCGTTCCCCGGTGAATAAATAGCGTTGATTGGTTAACATTTTAGCCAATGCGGCATAAAAACGTTTATGGGAAATGTAGGTTAAATATTTTGCTTCTTAATTTAACAATTGGATGAACAGTGTGAAAGCTGTGAGTGTAGTGACGCGAACGCTTCTTATCGCAGAATAATCTAAATTTACAAAGCCGGTATATTACGACAAAAGCTTTAAGGATGTAAGGCTAACTGACCAATATGTCTCGTCATACGATTAGATATGTACGAATCGAATGGTCTTAAAATGCATAATGAAAAATAAATAGCTATTCAGTTTCCAGATTACTTTCAATTATTTTACGAGTCTCGAAATGAAGGACCACACCCTCAAAAATACCATTTCAGAGAAATGTTGGGAAACGTTTATGGATAGAGGCACGAAAATGAAGAAACTTACCCAAGAAAGAACCAATTGACCTGACAACCATTTTACAAACCAGGTTGAGAAAAGGACGCAAGCAGGGAAAGGATACACGAAACAGTCGTCCCAAACAATCGTTCAGAGCATTCGATATCTGGATACTTTATTCGACTTTTTAACTGGAGAATTCCAATGCCGATCATAAAATGCAACAAAACCGGATCTGCTAAAGATTTTTTTTCTCTTCTTTTCTTTTTCTTTTTTTTTTTTTTTTTTTTGGTTCATGGCTGCCCAGATGACCAGATATCAAAATACAGACAAACGATGATTCAACAGAAGCCGCAGTAACTCCTTTAAAATCGCCGGAAAGAAATGCATTTGTGTTTGTGACGTAATACTATATATAAAAAAAAAAGATATGAATATATATCTGCTTCCTCGGAGTTCTATATTAAACTATAACGCACTTGTTTTTTGTGGGATATATATATATATATATATATATATATATATATATATATATATATATATATATATATATAAAAAATCTACATCTATGTAGCCACGAAAACTTCAAGTAATTATGAGTTAGGTTGAAAAAAAATTTCATATTAATTCTATTAACGGTTTATCTCCGTATTCGATATTGAGATCAAAGCCTGCTTGCCTTAAATACCTCCTTATCAGCAAATCACTGAAAAACCAGCAATTTTGACTTCAAGAACAGTCTTTCAAATTAACACAATATATATATATATATATATATATATATATATATATATATATATATATATATATATGCGAAAATGAGATATATGTTTTTCTAGGTTTTCAGATAAGACGGTTAGCCATCATAGCTCCATTTGTCGTAAGAATCACTGAAAACCCCTTTGAGTTATTCAGCCATAAAGAGAACAGGTTTGTTTTAGCCCCTCTGTCTTCCCAACTGAACAGTTTAACTCTGTTCCGACGTGAGATTGTATCTATATAGCCATGAAACACTGAAGTAACCATGAGTTAAGGGAAAAAAACTTTTTCATATTAATTCTATTGACGCTTTATCTCTGACTTCGATATTGGGTTAACAAAGAATATGGCGCCTTCGTTGATGAATTTCAACTTGACATCAAGAAGACAATTGGAGAACTAGAAAGGATTATTATACTAATAAATAGACATAATATCTATATTATTTTATACATATATATATATATATATATATATATATATATATATATATATATATATATATATTGTTTTAAGTCTTAAATAGCTCCTTACCAGGAAACAACAGAAAAAAAAAACAAGCAATTTTGGCTTCAAAACAGACTTTCAAATTAACATTATATATATATATATATATATATATATATATATATATATATATATATAAAAGACATTTTTCCTTTTATACGTTCTTTTTATAGATACAAATATTTAAGTAAATGTTCTGCTTATAATAAACAGTATTAACGACATTTACCGGACAGAATGTCCGAGAAAGTTTCATAGAAAATATGCGTCCTCCGACAGGAATCGAACCTGTATCTTATACGGAACCGTCAGATAATCTGAGGAGCGTTTCAGTTAGCAAGGTCGATTTTACATTTGTTTACATTTGAATACGCATCGAGCAGATATGAATATACGAGAGACAATCCTGGAGAATTGTAATTTAAAAACAGTAAAAACGAACTTGCTAGCCGAAACGCTCGTCTGTGGTTCAACCGGTAAAGCACGCCAGGCTATATGATGGTTTCGTATAGGATACAGGTTCGATTCCTGTCGGAGGACGCATATTTTCTATGAAAATTTCTCAGACATTCAGGCCGGTAAATGTCGTTAATACTGTTTATTATAAGCAGAACATTTACTTAAATATTTGTATCTATAAAAAAGAACGTATAAACATAAAAAATGTCTTAAAATAATTGTCGGATTTTGTCCATTTCATATATATATATATATTATGTCTATTTATTTGTATAGTAATTCTTTCTAGTTTTCCAATTGTCTTCTTGACAGTCGTATTGAAGAAAATGTGCCTTTCCACGAGAACCGAACTAGTATTTTGTTTTGAATCTGTGAATTCTGGGAAACATTTTTAAGCGAATGATAAAGCGGACTTTAGTTTGAAAGTGGTTTCCCAGATTAAGAGACGAACACAGGTTCGATGCCCGTCTTAGAGACACATTTTCTTTCATAAGGCTTTCGACCTCTAGGCCGATAAACATTAATTTAACTATTAGCTAATTTAACCAAAACAATCAGGGATGTAAACTTAAACACGTATGTTCACTAAATATAACGTTTAGGCATTATATATATATATATATATATATATATATATATATATATACGTGCGTGAGTGTGTGCGTTTAGGCATTATATATATATATATATATATATGCGTGCGTGCGTGCGTGTGTGCTTGTGTGTTTGTATGTTTGTTTATGTGTGTGCGTGTGTGTCTTAATGAACGAAAATAATTCCTTTATCTAAACATCGGCTATTTTATAAGATGTCTGCTCAGACATATGTGTCCGCTAAATACAAATTTTTTAGTAATAATAATACTTAAAATCATATGTGTGTGTGTGTGTGTGTGTGTGTGTGTGTGTGTGTGTGTATTTCGGGTGTGTATGTCGGGTGTGTATGTGTGTGTATGTGTGTACGTGTCCTAACGAACGAAAATAATTCCTTTATACAAAATTCGCCTATTTTATAAGATGTCTGCTCAGACACATGGGTCCGCTAAATACAACATTTTTAGTAATAATAATATATAAAATAATATATATGTGTGTGTGTGTGTGTGTGTGTGTGTGTGTGTGTGTGTGTGTGTGTGTGTGTGTGTGTGTGTGTGATCTAATCAAAGAAAAGAATACCTTTATCCACAAATCGTCTCTATTATAAAATGCCCATTATTAGAATTATTGGAAAAGTGTTTCAATCATGTATGCAACTATGTATCGTCTGTGCTTTTGTACGCATGCGTTCGGGCTTTCTTCTCTAAGTTCCACCAATTAGGAACAACTGATAAACAATATTTTGCTGTTTTTTTTGTTTGTTTTTTTTTTTGTTTTGTTTTTTTTACGCCCAAGATTTAAATCCGTTGTTATAAATCAACAGCAACAACAACATATAATTCCTTCTAGACGCGTAAGATCTGTAATCCGAGTTCTTCAATGTGGAGAAATTGTTAATCACACAACGTAAATAAGGATTAATGCCAAAGTCGAAAACAAGTTTGGCAATGTCTTTGCCAGATAGACACTCTTGCCATTTTATTTATTTTTTTTTTTTTTTAGTCATTCTTCGAAATCCAAAATACGTTATTTTGATGCATTGGTGTCTGTTTTTCCTTCTTTTTTTCTTTTCTTTTTTTTTCACTTGCAGCATCATCGTTTTGGCTATTTTATTTTTTATTTTTTTATTCTTTATTTTTAATTTAATTTTTTTTTTTTTTTTTTGAAAAGATGTGTAGATGTATTTGATATCACGATGTTGCCGGTAACAAATTCGTTGAAGTACCCGACCTAAAGAAATAAAACCCAGTTCATGCGGCAAGGGTACGCCTTCCTTCTCTGTAATTATCTTCGCGACTGATGTCATAATGTTATATACAAAAGATATAGAAATAGATTTATTATTTGCCGATAACAATATTCTGATATACACAAGAATCATATAATCATAAATTCACTGGATATGTTTTCATACCATATTCTTTTTTAAGTCCTTCTTCTTCTTCTTCTTCTTCTTCTTCTTCTTCTTCTTCTTCTTCTTCTTCTTCTTTTGCTTCTTCTTCTTCTTTGTTTTGATATCTATGCAATGTTTTATATACAGCATTGATTATTTCTCTAATTTGTGTATAGTTCATAAGATATGTTTAACATATTATTTGAAATGTTATCAAAAGTTAGCGAACAATTGGATTTAGCGGGAAAAGAAATCTCTTCCCCAAACAAGAAATGATTACTGGCTTTTAGTTCAGTTTTGTGAAACTAAAAATATCAAGAGACATCTTCAATATTTACAAGTTATTCTGCCCTCTTTAGCGATGTCTTTCGATAGAATCATTGTCTACACTGGTTTTTAGTCTTGATTTACATCGAATAAAATAAAACTAAATTTTAAATATTTTACATAATTATAATTCAGAGTATTATGACTTAAAGGCAAAATTTCTGCTGATTCTTGCAAATCTGCAAGTCGAGCGAAAATTATTCTGGGTTTTAAGTTAAAAAGATTAAGATTAGAATAATATTATATTCATATATGACATTTGATTCATAGGTTACCGGTATGAACTATTTTTACAGAGTTTTAGATATTATAAAGAAAATAATTTGGTTTATTTACAGGCATCTGATAAAGATATGTATACATTTATGTGGAAAGGGAATTATGTATATATGTGTGCGATTGGGATCGTTTGTGTGTGTGTGTGTGTGTG